TGAATTGAATTAGTGAATAAACAAGAACAAACTGGTTCCTCAATTTGGTTTGTTTGATCTTTCTGAGATAGTCGCACAAATCCCACGATGGTGCCAAAACTGCAGAAGGGAATAGGAAAGTCAGGGAAGCAAAATTAGTTCCCAGTTCAGATTTAATAAATAAACAAYGCGGGTTGCTGCCAAACGTTAGTTTTCTTTTCTTCCTCAACACTTTGTCAAACCACAACTGGCTTTTTAATGGCTCGGTATAGAAATAAGTTTTTGAGGGTGGAGTGGAATGATTCTGTTTGGATTTTTAGGAATGTTTTTGTGATTGATACTCATTTCCTGCCCTGGGTCACGGTGTTTCTCCCAGGGAGCACAAAAGCTGAGATTCTCCTAGGCTGGTCTTTGACCGRGTAGTGCCCTAGCAATGGTCCTTGTGTGCTGAGGTCAATTTAGGACCTGGATTAGTTTTATACTGGCCTGGGAGAAGGTTTTCTTCTCCCAAGAAGATTCTTGAAGAGATTTCTTGATTTCCAGAAGTCTTTGGTCACCTCTGATGCCAGCAGTGCTGTGGTCCTTGAGTGGCTGTGACTCTTTCAGCGTTGTCCCCCATGCACACCTGCAGCCAGCAAGTTCCTGAAAGGGTCCTGACTGAGATTTTTTGAAGCTAGAGGAGCATAAATCCCCAGCAAGCAGCTGTCCTGGTCACCATACACATGTGCAAACAGGATGGTTTAGTGATTGAGGCCCCATTTAGGAACCAGAGGATCTAAAATGTGTCCTTTTGCTGTCACAGGTATCTYGGGAAGCCCAAGTTAAGCACACATTAAAAGGGTGCTGAGAGCTGTTGTGTCCCTGGGTGTTGTAAGGGTAGACACAGGATATACTTGGATAACTCATGACCCTGGTCCTTAGTCCCTGGGGCAGCTGGAAGGTGCAAGTGTGATAGGTATAACTGAAGACTATGCAGTAACTTTTCTAATGCACTCCTTAACTGGGAGCATTTCAGAGGGGCCTTTGGCTCTCAGGAACGCTGCTTTCCCCTTAAAGCCAAGTTCCTCCTAGCTACATTAAGGATTTGTGAGTATTTTTCTTAAGATTGCAGGTGGTTAGCTTAGATATCTTGGATAAATAGTAATATTGCAGTGAAATGTCTAAATTACAGCTCCCAGCTGCATTTCAGCAGTATCCAGCCCTCTGCATGCCCGAGCCAAAGAGCCTTCCATCAAACCCCAGCGTGGTCCTTCCCCTCAAAGCTGCACATAGGTTGCACCCAGAGACTTAAGAGGTGCTCAGAGCTGCTTGGCTCTCCTCTGGCACAGCCTTGTTCAAGAGCTGGCCTAACACCTGCATGGATTATTATTATTATTGCCTGTTTATGTAACATGTGGCTTGTTGGTTTATGCCTCATGGATGGACTGCAGAGTTCAGGAAATGAGAAGTTGTGCCCTGACGTCTTCCCTCCCCACTTTGCAGCCTATAGTGACCTTCTGCTCATGGAGTCGTTGGCAAATCCTCCTTCCTGGCTGTCTGTGCGAGGATCTTACCTTGCCATACCCAAAAGACATCTATAATGCTCGAGCTCAGCAAGGACAACAAGTAATCTCCTAGAGTAAGGGCTACAATGCACTGTCTCCATAAACGCGCAGCCTTTGGAATCCCCATGGTTCGTTGGGGAGGGATTTGAGTCAATGTGGAGCTGCTGAAAGAAAAATGCACGTGCRAAGATACGTGTTTCCTGCAGGAGTGATTCCCATGAGTGGGAACAACCAGGTAAAAAACCTTGCTTGATTTGCAGCCAGGAGAGCTGTACCAGGCACCACCGGAGGATTTTCCAGGAGAAAGAATTTCCCTGAGCTGAATTAGTGTAATACGTAACTAAAAAGAGTTTTGAGGTTTTTTTCTATGCATCTGCCTCCAGACACAGGGACTGTGTATTCACATGGCAGTACGTAAATCCCTTCTTTCCTTCTGTTTCCATGCAGGTTGGCACTGCAGGAAGGGCTGCTCGGTGTCATTCCCTCGGATCTGGAGCAGCTGATCCCCCTGTTCTGCCCTCCCCACGATACGTGATTTAAGGGACCCGGGAGGCAGGAAGGGGCTTCCCTGCGGAGCCGGGTGAGTCAGTTTGCAGGCTGGAGCTCAGGCTGCTCATGATGAGCATTAGTCAGAGTGTTCCTGGCAGGGGACAGGAGAGGGGAGCGAGGGTCTCCCGCAAGCCGCCGGCCTCCACATTTCATCCACATGCAAAATGATCCCTCATTTTCGGCCACATGATCCCTCTGGGCATCTGATAATTGGCGTTAGCAGGGGTCTGGTGGCACGAGAAGCGCTCCACAAGCCCGTGCCATCCTTCACCCCATGGGAAACTACATAAACCCCTTTGAGGAGCTCCGGCGTCTGTGGGCGCCCAACCCAAGGAGCAAATTCATTGGAAAGCCATGGAAGTTGGGAGAACACAGTGTCTAAGGCAGGCAGGCAGCTCAGACAGCTCCACAGCAGCCTAAACACATGACAGGCTCGAGCAGCTCCCCGCGCTGCCAACACAACTGCGTGCGCCGGCTGCCAAGAAGCCAGATGCTGCTGCTGGAAAAAATATCTTCCAGAGTTTGGCACCGGGAGCCTGTGATTACCATCCAAATGGGAGGAGATGGAGTGGTAGAATGTGAGTTTAGTATTTAGCACCCCAGAACTGTGCAGCAGCCTTTGAAGGCGAAGGAAAAAAGTTCAAGCAAAATATTTTTGCTAAAAATATGTTCGGAGAAACGGGCTCTATTTTTTTCTTTTTTAAATAGCAGAAAACCAAACTACTATTAAAGCGACGCGAAATATTTTATGTCCATCTCAATTAAATGAGCAAAACCAAAGAGAGCGGCGGATTCTTGTCTTGAGTTGATTTTGTGAAGGTTTTTGAGAGTTTTGTAAAGGTCAGGGCAGGAGCTCTTTGTCTCTGTTGCTCATGGAAAGTTCCACGGCAGATAGCGTCCCGGTGCGCTCCCCTACCCAACACAAATAGAGATGGGTCGGAGCCGTCCCGTGGGCCTTTGGGAAAGGTTGRGTTTGGCTCCAAAGGGTGCAGCCCTCGTCTCCAAGCCGAGGACAGGGAGCTCTCGCTGTCCCAAATACCTGGAGGTTTGAGTGACAGCTGGGATCAATGAGGACCTGATTTTAAGTGCGACTAAGACTCCCCAGGGGAGATGCTCTGCACGTTGGAAAAACCAGCCCGAGCAAAACCTGCAGCCCTCGCTGTCTGTACTCACCTCTCGTCTCCTTTCTTGCTCTCATGTACATTTGCTGGTTCTGCTCCATGGCTGGGAATCCGATTATGGCCGTAATAATAATAATAATATCCCAAGTGGGACCTGAGAAAACTGCATCTGGAAAATCAAGACTTAAAGCTGGTTTGTTTTACTTGTATTTCTGGTTGCTTGTTTTTGTGACGGATCTGGTTTTCAGCAAACATATTGGGGGGGAAAAAGTAAACAAAGCCATTAATAGTCTTCTTCCATACTCTGATTTCTGGGAATGGCAKATGATTTTGAAAGGTGGGCAGGGAAGGGGAGGAAAGCTGTTCCATCACTCAGGAACCCACCTGTGGATACCACAAGTCATAACCTTCTCTTTTGGAGCTATCTTGGAGCTCTGGTCCAAAAAATATGGGCTATCTTGGAGGGCTCAAGCTGCTTTGGTTGTGACTGGTGACATGTGGGCTCTGAGAGCAGCGGTCAAAGCTGGTCAAAGCCTCCTTATGGGTTTTGTCCTTGAAAGCACCAAAGATCCCATGTTACTGCTTGACTAGTACTGTTTTTTAGTACTTTTGGAGACAAATGACAATGTGAGCTTATCCATCCAGCTGTTACTTCTCTGATAACTGAATGAGGGGACACTGTGATGTCCAGTTCTGCTGCCACTCTATCCATCCTGAAGATGGAGCACTTTCTCCCAAACTCAATTTCAGATTTCAAGCTTTTGCTCCTGTTTTCTATAACTTCTGTCTTCCAGGAAWGTTATTTCCATGTCATCAGTAGTAACTTTGATTCTCCTGTTTCAGCGTCCATGATGAATTTAGATAATGTGTTCTTCAGACCCTCTCCAAGTCCTTGACAATGAGGTTTCCAAATTGATTAGCTTAACAAAGATTCTAGCAGCTTCCTAAATAGAAATTATAACAAATTTCAATCTGGGGTTCAGGTAAAACCCTTTATATGTAAAACCCTATATATTACTGTTCTGGTGTCTACTTTGTATGCCAGCCACAGGAAATATAATTTGGTCATACTTTATAAGGACAGCTTAAACTATTACGGACCTTTAAATAAATCATCAGTTGTTTTAATAGCCTGAAAAGATTTTCAGTTAACTTTCAGCAAAGAAAAGACAGGCAAGTGAGTTGTCTCTTGCCTCTGTGAGGAGTGCCCTCCGTGGTGGCTTCTGTTGGATCCTGTGGTCCCTATGGCTTTCCCAGCTGTCCAGGACATCTGGATACCGTATGTTGGAAGTTCGGTTGGTGCTGCAGGCATTGGGGGATCTTAGCTGTAAATGTAAATCTGTAGACTTGCATTGAGGGACAGGTTGTCTCTTGAATCAGCTTGTGAAGCTAAGGTGGTATTGGTTTGAGTAGTTTAAATGTTAATGTGTTTTAGCCACTTTTAAAAGGTCCTGTAGCCAATTTCTGCTGTATGTTTTAACATCAGTTCATAGGTGCAGATTGTCTTAGAGACCTGAGTTTTGGACTGTATTTGGAAATTTTGGCTATTTGTGTCCAAATTGTGTCTTTATTCGTTATCTTCTAACAGAGACTATGACTCTGTGGCTTCAGCTGAATTGCTGTGAAGATTGCGCTGGCGCTGAAAGTCAGCATCTCACCACTCTTCATTATATGCCCCATGCCTGTTCTTGGGGTAAATATACATCAACTTTTGTTCACAGAGAAACAGGCAGTTAGCAGTGCCATAAATCCAATTTACACTATTCTGTAAACTGTGTTTATCTCCCAATAACTCCTTTAGGCACCCACATGCCCTGCAAGATTGCGTGTGTGGACAGASCCAATGGACTCTCCGCATGAGATGAGCCCTTTAGGATTCATGATGCAGGATTTGCATGGTAAGTGGAGATTTTAATTCATAGTAGCTGTTGCTTATCCACACGAGAGATACTTGTGGATTGTGGTAAGCAAACTCATTGTTCGGCCTATTATTCCTCACTTAAAACCTCCTTTTTGCTCGGCAGGAAGAAAAAACTGCTCGGACTATTAAATTGAGGACCAGCAGTTAATTCTGTGGTGTAAATTCAAATAGAAATMAAGTTACACTGAAGAAAAACAATGGTATTAATAAAGAATGAGTTGCAAATGTGTCTTAAAATAAAAGCTAGCTCTTCTATGAATGGTGAGGAAAAATAATTTCCTCCCACGAGTTGCACGGGGCAGGAGGGACAGTGTTTGCAGTTGGGTTTGTGATGTGAGGGCAGCTGAAAGGACTCGGTGTTTTACCCTGCYGAGTGTTACCACGCAATACAAGTGGACCTGTGGGCACAGGTCCGAGCTCAGACTGCTCCATTCCTTCCATGGGTCCCTTCCCTGCATTTGCAGGATCACTGGTAACATCCACAGCCTTCGTATGTAACAGCTTTGCCATCGTCTCATTTTTAAGTTCTTTAAGTATTTTAATTCATCCTGGATTATAACCCATTGCAACCCAGTGCCAGCGTTTTTTATAGCGTACAAACATTAGCACCCTGCTATGGTCAGGAACTCATTTCATCAACTCTTTGTTAGCTCCTTTGGCTGTTATTTTGGCATTTGCTTCTGGGCTGACTCATATCTTGTATTTCTGACTGTAGAAAATGCATTTATCTGCTTCTGGAACGGACTTGGCTTTCTGAATATCATGCAGATGCCTAATTTGCTTGAACTTCAAAACAAACCTTTAAACCAAACCTTTGGTGCCCGCACCAAGCACTTATGGCAGTTATAGTGTCCTCTCTTTGTGGGTAAGCATGACTCTGCTCATTAGATGCAAGTCATCTCGACTGAAAAGCTGCTGGTCATTCCCTCAGGTCATCAGCCTAGCTGGAGCAGCTCCAATTACCTGAGCAGAATAGTATCACTCATAACAACCTAAGTAAATCAGGAAGTCACAGAACAAGGGAAGTAATTATAGCTTCTTTCAGTCCTGAAAAAGCAACCTGTTCTTTTACGACCCATCAAAACCATGTGTTTGCCTTTAGTGGTTAAAATAAAGGGTGTGCAATTTGGGAATAATCCAGCTATGAAGTTTCCTTAGTAATTGGCAAGTCCTGAAAGGTTTTCACTTCTGCAATTTAAAGGTGGTGAGCATGAGATTAATTCAGTTTTCTTTTAGATTAACCTTTAAGGGACACTGCAAAACTGAAGAGTGACGTTTTCGAATGGGGAACCCACATCTTGCCCTTTTGACGTAAGGCTTATTTTGTTAATTAGCTTTACATTTCATTTATGATCCGATTTAGTCGTACTGTAAGCTAGAATGTCATTCGCTGTAACATTCAGAACTCCTAAATTACTTGCCACTATTATAGAAAGGACTGTTGTGTTCTTCATTCCTAATAGTAGCATTATCAGTTTGCGCAACTCGCTCTTGTTTTTCAGCGTTCGTTTCAACACACCCATTTCGTTTGATTCAGATTCAACAGATTCTAGGCAGAAAATAGTCATTTTCAGTGAGTCTACATGCAATTTTTATCAACTGTTTTTCAAACATTGAGGGTATGGGCACATGCTGCTGTCTTCCTGGAGGGAACCTCTGTAAATCCGAAGGCGATCAATCTTTTCTTTTCTTGGAAATAAAAAGCCTGATCCCACATGATACTTCAGACTGTGCTTTCACTGAGCACATGAGTAATCTGGCTGAAATYAGTGGGATGACTCAAAATGCTTAAAATGATGTGCATCCCTGCCCCTGGACATTTCATACAGGACATTTAATGCTGGAGCAACACTCTTGCCTCAGTTATACTCCACTCACTCTTTTCTCAAAAAAAATAATGAGTGAAGCACAATTTCTGCCCTTTGGTAGGGAAGGGGTCATAAGATTGCAGCTTAACTTTTGATTAAAATAATTCAATACTTAAATCACCTGGTTAGACCSTTCTGCATTGACTTGGTATCTTTGTGTCAGATTTTCAATATCATTCGTGTCAAGTAACTCACTTGACACAAGTGGCCTATTTTCCTGTTAATGTACTTGATACAAAAGGCTGCCTCTTTCTCAGATGTGTTTCTTGCTAATTAACCAAATAATTATTATCACAGTAGGCTGTGAACACGCAGCACACTGTGGAGGTACAATCCTGAAATGGGATAGTGGGTTTTCCAGAGGATGGATTAAAACTTGAGTAAGAGTCTCCACGCATAGCTCTCCATCGGGGCTGTGCCTTCCTGACAAGCAATGCTTTCATTTCAGGAAGGAAAATTTGGGATTTGGGAAAAATTTGCAGTGTATTCTATATTTTTCAGTTGCTGTGAAAATGGTTTGAGTTTTGTCTTCTCAATCAGAGTAACCGCAGTGAACCCAGAGCAGCAGTGCAGCTAAATGAGGTGGGGATCTCACACCTGGCCTCTCATGGCTGTGTCTTCTTCAGTGTCACTTGTTCCAGGAGCTTCAGGGAGAAGCAAGGCTAGTGCTTAGGGCTTTGATGTTTGCGTGTCCAAGCTGTTGCAATTTCCTCAACAGAGCTACTAAAATAGAGCTGCACTCTGCGTGTTTATCTCTGTCACTTGAGTTATGGAGAGAACAGTCTGCTTTAAGACACGAGCCAAAGTGCTAGGAAAAGAATATTCCCTAGTGAAAAACAAGGGGATCTTTTGTCTGCTTTTCCCTGCAGAGCCCAAAAGGAGCTGCCATCCCAGCCCTCCCTACCCAAGCGATCACAAAGGAGCGAGCCACAATCTACTGGGAGATGAGGGAACATCTCCCTTTTCTTTCTCGCACTGAGCTTGTATCCTTGAGCCTTTTCCCCCTTGTTTTCCAGATATTGTTTTTCAAAGTCAGCTGCCCTTGTGGCTTGTGCTTTGTGGCTCGCGCTCCTACGGCTCGGGGTCCCTGCTTCCAGAACGTGGGAGTTCGGCGCCAAAAATGTTCCTGTGCACAATGTTCCAATGAGCTATATTGAGAACAGTTTCTCGCTGGCCTTGCGACTTCCCCATGGTGTAGGCAAAGCCAAGCTAGTTCAGAGCTGGCCAGGTCAGGCCCCAGATGTCCAGGGCTTAGAGCAGGCTTACGGCCGCGCTGCTRCTCGCTCTCAGGACACTTCTGCAGAGTTTCCCACTGAAACTGGGAAAGTAGCTGGGCTGCTACCCGGCTCGAGCCCGCAAAACTCATGCGATCACAGCCATGGCAAACAAGCTGCACGTAGCTTGAGTTTCGTCTCATTTTTTCAACTCCGGCCAACCAGGAATGTAAACCACACTGACCAAGCAAAACCGGGGAAACTGCCAGTGAATGCAGGAATAAGAATAGGAAGGAAGATGTGGAAAGCACGAGGTAAGAAAACGAGCACTGCTTTTTTTTTTCTTTTTTTAAATACTCAACGTTTTGACTCCAATCAGGCTTCGCAAAGCTGTCAAATGTCTGCAGAAATGATCTGTGCTTTTTTGGTAAGACCTCTGATGGCAGTGACTCCTAAGTCAGTATTTGGGTGAGCTTTAGCTGGAGTACTTGTTTGGTAGAAACGCCAGATGGATCCAAAGCTGACAAGCCACCTACCACTGCCATTAGGGAGGCTTGATTCAACCACTGTAGGGGATAGTGCCAGTGAGGAGAGTTGGATTCCCTTCTAGATCCAGGTGTAGAAGGCAAATACAAACATCCCAAGTGCCTTTGCCCATATTTTGTGACTGTTCAGACCTAGGGACTATTTTTGACTCCATGAAGGTAAACTTAGTCCTCTAGAGGGCATGGTTACACTGATTATATATTTAATAATTAACTAGTATCACCTTGACTATGTGTTCACTTTTACTAGTGTAAATGAGTAAAAGCACTGGCAGCCATAGACTTTTCTTAACTTTATACCTTATTGTAAGCTCTTCCGTATCATCTGTCTTCTGGAGGAGGCTAATCCTGAGTGGGCCAGAGGTTTGGGTTTCATCATGGGTGAAGCTTTCCAAGAAGCAGCTCTATTTTCTTTCCTTTGCAGTCAAAGTTAACAAAATTGTGCAGATGTGAACATGGCCATCGTCTTTTCTACTGTACGTGTTGCCCTGGCGTGCAGATGTAGCAGAGTTTGGGAGCAGGGGCCTTGTAATTCACAGAAAGATGCTGTGCTAACTGATCCCCGAATCCACCTCCTCTCGTTGCGGCAGCATCAGTTGCGCAGAGCCATTTCAATCTGGAAGTCACGTCTTTGCACAGCTTTCACAGGGTTCACTTGTCTCTAATGCAAACACCTGTATTTTATTCCATTTTACAGTATTTAAATCCCCTTATAAAATAAACGGCTACTCGCTGGAACGTTACCCRTGCTGTATGCCCAAGATCAGATGAATTTTAAGAGCTAAGATGCACTGGTGAGTAAGAAAGACTGGAAACAGTCATGAGACGATGTTTCAAACAGGAAATCAGCCCATTTCTTGGCCTCTCCGTATATTGCATGTGCCTATCATGTTAAGATTTCTTTCTTGGATCATTCATGTGCCAAACCAACACTTAGGAACCTGAAAGTGTGTTAATCTGCACTAATTCGTTGCCATCCCTGGGCTGTGCTGCACAGTATAGCTTTGCTTTTGCTTGCAAAAAAAGAAAAAAAGAAGAAGAAAAGACATTGCTTTTAGAAAGGTTATTTTTTCTAGTGATTTTTTTCTTGTCTCGTGAGAAAGTGATGTTCTTAACTGGTTTAAAAGATACACAGTGGTATATGGGTAAAAGATACCCAGTGGTATATGGGTGAACCAGATGTTCTTTGTATTCTTCTAAGCTTCCCATTTCAACACAAACCTGGCTGCACTGCCCTTACTTAAGGCTGACTTTATGACCCTAAGCCAAATGCAACATTGGTCACAACTTACATAACTTGGGCATTAGTAGATCTTAAGGAAGAATAAAACATGGTAGACTGAAGTCCCAGAAATCTTAAGTTGAGCTGGTGATGTGCTTTTTGTCTGAAGATGGGAAGCAAAGCCCTTAAAATCTGCGGGAAAGATGGCTGTGAGTGTCAGGATTGGAACGAGGGAGATTGGAACTTCGGTATTACCAGGTGGCCTGAGCAATTTGGGGAATTAAGAAATAGAAATGTACTGCAGCAGAGGAGAAGCACAAAGACCACAACAAGCAAGGCAAGACTGAGTGTCACCTTGATGTGTCCCCTGGCCTGTCCCTTTAGCGTGTCCTGAGCTGTGCCCTGGCTCGTGCTTGGACTGCCAAGTGGTCCATAGGCTCTAGGTCAGTTTTATGGAACAACCAAAATAGCACTTGCTCCTGAAGAATTCAAGCCAAGATTTATGCACTGGAAAAGACCTCTAAGATAAGAATTATTTTCTAGGTTATTTTCTAAGATTAGAATTTACTGGACATATCTATTGAAACTCTTCTCAGTTTTAGGATGAGAGCCAGGCAAAACTATCCCTCGAAAGAAACTAGAAAAAGTGGTCGGGTTTTATCTTCTCCCTTTTGTCTTCATTTTCAGCTAACATTTGAATTTATTGGCAGGAAGGATTTCTCAAGAGCTACCCTGGTGCAGATCTTCCACAGGCTTCTCAGCGCTGAGCCTCTTTGTTTCTACATTTCCTCCTTAGAAGATCTTTGGGCAAACATGTGCAGTGCTTAGTAATAACAATACTAATGCTATTATTAGAATTAATAATAGAAACAGTAAAGTGAAGCACATTTGGAGAGTGTAGGAATCCCAGTTGCAATTGTTACATTTATGCAACTGGAAGTGACCCCAACTCACCTGTTCTAGAGGTTAAATAGGAGATGCTTCAGGTACCATCTCCATCACATCACCGTGCTTGATGATAGATTASACCAATAGTTGTTTGCAGAAATTATCAGTAAATATAAATTATCACTAAATATATTCATTTGAGGTGTTAATTGCTGGCAGAAAAAAAAAAATGCTGGTAGAAAGTGAACCTGACCGAGTCAATYGATTTAAATAATCCCATGAGGTCCAGTTGGGATCCCATTCTTCTTTACTAGAGGATTCCAAGTTGGACTGCAACTTAAGTGCCACAAATCCCCGAGTCTTTCATCAGGGTGAGATTCAGAGAGTAAGTCACAGTGATCAGGAACTATGTGTAAAGAAGACTGCATTCTGGAGCCACCCGAGCCAACTTGGAAGAGTTAAGCCAGGTATCAAGCTCAGGCCACCTGCAGCCTCACACTGGGCCTGTCCCTGCTAGCTCAGCCAGATCAAGCAGACAGCATCTGAGACTTCTACGCCTCCAGTTACTCAAAATTAGCTCATTTGCAGCTAGTCCAGATACCTCTGCATTACGCCGCGGCTTGCGGTGCAGACATCCCTTGACACTCCTGTGGGCTGGATGCACTTGTGTAATTTTTTGCAGCATACATGAAAATGCAGCGTGGAGGCTGTTGGGGAGGAAGGAGGGGATTGGAACGGGGTGGTGTTGGCTTCGACGCCGGACACGCTGTCTCATACCATTATGGCTGCGRCCATTTCGTTCTAATTCACCCGTATCAACTGTTTTTAGGTCTTCTCAGCATTTCCCTCTTGCCATCACGCTGAAGAAGGCTTTGGCCAGGCTTCATTATGCTTGGCTGGTGTCAGCGAAGGAGTGAGTGACACTGTTATCCAAGTCTATCTCCCCACCACAACGCAGACAGCCAAGCACTGTTGGCCCCAATGGATATTGCTCAGCAGATCTTTGTCAGGCTTGTTCAAACAAGATTTGTTACCATTGACCTACCAGATAAAGTTCATGCCTCTGACTCCAGGATACTTCTTGTCTTGGTGTCATTTGTTCACTCGAATAATTGGTTATTGTAAGATTATCACATTAAGGGGGATTTTTTTTTTTTTTTTTTTTTTTTTTTGTGTTTGTTTTAAGAACAGCATTCTTCTTACTATCAGATGCTGGGTAGGTAGTGGATTCTGTTGCTTTCTATTCCAGTGTGGATTTGGGTAATGAAAATGAGAGAATATAAGCCTTGGACAGAACCACTGCTATAGAAATCTCCCCCCAAGCCTTTGCCAGGTTAATTCGTTGCTGGCTAATGCAGCTCGGGCGTCTTTTAAGTGAAAGGTGCCAATCATGCAGAATTATACGGTGGTTTTGAACAAAGCCAACTCACCTGTTTGCTGGAGACTTGAATCAGACCACCAAACRCATTTGCACTTATGCCTAGAAATGAGCCAAACCCACAGAGTCCAGATCCAAATCTGGCTTTGAGCTCTTAAGGTCTGATCCTGATGGTCTCTATGGCTTCTTTACTTAAAACGCGGTAAGGAGATCAAAGAGTGAGTTCAAATTAGACCTCTGAGGCGCAACGCAACATCAAGCCCTGGTCCAGAGCCACCAGGGAATGTGACCTAACCAACTCGTCACTCAAACAGAAGAGTTTATTGTTTGTTCTGTTTGTTCTGTTTGTTCTGTTTTGTTTTTTTTTCTCTGATTTGAGCTACATTTGATGACTTATGTGGTTTTACTTTTCATTTCCTCACTTCCCAGATCTATGCATGGTCCTATGTCAGTTCAGAACGTCCTAAATCAATTGAAGCATCACACACCAAAACTGATGTTGGCCCACCTTGTTTTCAGAACAATTTCTGAAATGTAGAGCAGAATGCATTTTGGGCCTAATGTCTGAAATMGCTGCTTTTCTTCATATTTATCCACTGCATTCAAAGGAGCTGTCTGTGGGAGGAAAGGTTGGTTTTTACCAAGCCTTTTGATTGAGATAAAATTCAAGAACTAAGCATTCACYGTGGAAGCTGGTCAGCAGGCCTGCACATCTTGCACCTTCTGAATCTCAGATTCAAATCTTAACAGAAAGAAGAAAACTCTTCATCTTTCCAAAACAGAACCACTAAGTACTGGACAATTTACTGCTTTTAATTATTTGGATTGATGTCTTAACAGCCTAGATCCTGTCTTCTTTGCACAGCTCCTCTAAGAGAATGTAGTGCTTTTCACCAAAGGGTTTGTCTCGGAGGCTGCAGTCTTAACGTTTCTGGGATCCATCAGTAAGTACTGGCAACCGAACGCCCAGCATAACATTGGAGGGTGGTGGCCATCCTGTAAAAATGTAATTTCCGAAGTGGAGTGTGACTTCATCAAGCCAAGAAGCTCTGCTGAAGGGTGATTTGGAGGTTCCCTTTGAACACAGGTCAGGTATGTGGCTATAGGTTTATGGAATTTTAGTGTTTCCTAGTTGAAATTATTCCTACTACATTTTCAAATTTCCTTTCAAGTTCCTAATTACCAACAGCCAAACCAAACTAGTCTGAAGCCCTAAGTCTCTCTGTCCATCCACAGCCTGACAGCTCTGCCAAGCAATATTCTGTTACACTACTTACATAAATTATTTTCTATCCCTTCGATGTATTTCTAGTTTTAAATAATATGTTTTCTTTAGATTCTGGTTTTATTTTTCCCTCCTTTAGTGACTTTACCTTTGCTGCATCCTTTGCCATCACATATCAAGGGATAATTTTTCAGGACAGTTTGTGGGCATTCATGTAAGTGAATTTATCCCAGGAAATGTATATTTGTAGAGGTCAATAGAAGTGTGTGGATCTCCATTGCTTCTGGAGAGATTTTAAGGGATCATTTCTTGATTAATCAATTGAGTTTCTCTTTGTTTACAGAACTGACTGTGGCACTATTCACCAGCCCACTGCGTGATCGTTTTGCCTGGGYCTTTGAAAATGCATCTGCCTTAATCACATCTCCCCAGGAGTCTATTCTAAATCCTTTGACTTGAGCAAGTTCTYGCCAGCTTCAGTGGCAGATGGAGTCACTTGAGGAAAGCAGCAGCCATCACTATACATGGAAGAAGTTTCCAGGTATGGGGTACACTCACCACTGCAGCRGGTCTCCAGCTCCCTGCCTTTGTAGTTCTAGTTCCCCACTCTCTCCATAGGGAAATCTGGGCAGAGCCTCCTTCAGCCTTTCATACCTCTTGCACGCAGACCCCACTGCCCAGCCTGGGCTCTCCCCACTTCGAACCACAACTGACTTTCATGAAAGGAGAAACTATTTTTGCATGGAAATGGAAAGGACCTGAGTGCGGAATGAGGACAGAGAGTGTGAAGCAAGGCTCGCTGTCTCCAAACTGAAGGAAAAAAAATACAGATGTAGAAACAGGTGTTCAGGATATGTCTTTCCCACCTTACATCCCTGTCCAAGCTAATCCACATTTGAGGACACCAAATACTGCAAGCATTCCTCCTTCTCCCAATACAACTGYATTCATTCTTCCATCCCACAGCTTTCAGCACCAGGCATATTCCATCCCCACAGAACATAACTTGCATACCTCTCCGGCCACAAACACACATCCTACTCATAGTCTTCCATGCTTACGAGCACAGGCTGGGTAGAGAAAATTACAYTTCACTTAGATGTTGGCTATTGTAATAACAGAGAGATCCTCTTTGCCTGTTCTTCTCGGTTACAGAAGTCCAGTCCAAACTGAATTGTTTTTCCTTAAAATCAAAGTAATTTGTGAAATAAAGGGAGAACCAGTGATTAGATGCCTATTGCAAGTACAAAACAACAAAAAAATACCTTCAGATGGAAAAGACCTCTTATATCACCTATAGATCTAATCCAAAAGCAGATGTACTTATATCTCCCTGAATAAGATTTTATCTTAGGCAGAAGGCAGGTCACAGTATTTGCTATAGACTGTCCAACATATTTGGTGAAGTTGAGAGCACATCAGTGCTTTTAAAAACTGTGAGGGAGGATCTGCAGCATTCTCTGCTTAGAGCAGTAGGCTCCAAATCCTGAGCAGAGTGAGTTGAAGGAAAATTGCTTCCTCTGTTCCTCAGTGTAAATGGGCGATTACAGCATATATGGTTAACTCTTGTTGGTCACAAAGGTACCACAAAGTGGTTATCACTAGGACATGGCAGCTAAGGAATCRTACTGTTTACTGCACTGAGGAAGGAAAGTCAAATTTTACCTGTTCTTCAGGCCATCTCTCTATGCCCATCCATATTCTGGTTAGTCTTTCTTCACATCTGAGTCAGCAAATAAAAAAATTGCACAGATAGTAGGAATCCCTGGATATCTGAAAATCTGGAACTGCTCCAATTCAGCTTCAAATCTGTCCCCTTTTTCTGCATTTAGAGGTGAGATGTTTGTATGCTGCTTGATGAGATTGTGAAGAAAATGGTGTTTCTGAGTCCTGTTTCTGCGATTTGGCGCTAAATGACAGAAATCCTTTGTCACAGGGCTGGGCAGCTCTGCTGCAGCCCACATCTCCATCATGTTCCTGCTCCAAGAGTCATGTTTGCAGCCCCTGTTTCAGTCTTCACTGGATCTGTGGGAGCACAAAGCATAAAGGAAAGACAATTTATGGGGTTTCTATGGAAATGTGGTTCTTGCCCTTGTCTGCCAGAGCTGACATGGCAGAGGATGGCAGTGGAGGAAGAGTTGCCAGCTTTGAACTTTTATTAATTCTCATCAACAGACACTTTGAGGGAAGTGCTGAAGCAGCTCACGTGTCATCCAGAGCTCATTGCCCATTCTGCTGGCATCCCCCACAGCTTCTTAGAGGTCTAAAACTGTTCTAGAAATCTGCAGCCAATGAGCCTAACCATTAATTCTGCCATTTTGCCCTGCAGATCTGACCTCTTTAAGAGTGATTTGATGTTTCTTTAAGCAACACCCTGTCTCTATGAAGAAGTGCCAACAGGGGAGAAGTTTCAAGCTTGCTATTTTTATTTAAGCTGCTGGAACAGTATGGACATAATGTAAGTAACTGGACCAGCCAAGAGGGTGTCTGTCAGTCAGTGACTCAGTCTTCAGATCAGTCAGATGTGAGCCCAAAAGTCATGATAATAAATAATTTATTTTTGTACATTTCAAAACACCAGATACAGTAAAGTTAATGTTTTCCTTGGATGCAGGCGTTACTGGTCGGCTGTGTTTGCTTCCCACACCAGCAATAACATGTTCTGAATGAGTGTAGGAAGACTCCGACCACCATTCTGCCAGAGCTGACTTGATCCTGAGCTGGAGGCTGCTGAGTCTAAATAAATCACTCTGGAATAACTTGATGTGCAKTTCTGAGGCACGTGGCATCATCGGGTTTGTGCTCCGTCACTCAGAGCACTGGGGGAAGGTAAGTGAGACAAGTAGTCACCTGAAGAATGCGRGTTTTGGGGTTATTTTGGTTTATTCACCATGTTCATGGTGATCCTGCTGAGTCACATGCACGAAGGGAGAATGGCAGGGGAGACTGAGAGATGATTTCCTGTCCTGTGGACTGCCACTGGGAAAGGAAACACACAGCAAAGCGGGACTCTTTTCCACTGGGATGGGATGTGGAAACATGGACGTCTGTCAGGGAATATTCTTATGGATTCTTATGGATTCGTCATCCAGAGTCCTCTCTTGGATGCAAGTAGCCCTCTTGTAGAAGAAGTGAAGGARTCTAACCAGAGATGTCCCTAAAAGAGTTTTTGCAGGAGTTAGGAAGCATGGTGCTCTGAGAGCTGCTCTGTGCAATCAGACACCTTAAAATACCTAAATAGATTAGATAGTAATYTTAAAAAACCCTTTCCCTAGCCTGCTTTTTGGTAAATTCTTGGCACAAACTCTCTGCTCACTAGAATTTTGTTTTTTCTGATCCAGCATGAAAGTTGAAGGCTGTTGAATTCAGGTCTTAGAAAACCTCAGGGTTTCAGATCCTCTACAGAAATTGTTTTAAGAACAAAATTTATCAAGAGGCTGGCTATGACTTTGCTAGCAGAAAGGAAACATAAAGCATTAAATATTATTAGCAGCATTTTCCTGGATATATTGTCTCTCAGGGTCACAAACAAAGTCTTAGGCATGGACTTCCCTTTGGGAACAGATGATATGAACCATCGTGCAGATTTTTGGTGCAGATTCCARTGCAGATCAAGATCTCATTTAGGAGAGTTTTCAAATTGGTTGTTATTTCAGTAGTTTGTGGCTTTGCATATATTGTAATTGCCTGATGAAGGCAAAAATACTCATTGTCTTTTTCAGCCAACTCCCAGTATAACTTGGCATATGTTGCAGCATCTTCAGACATAAACTTTGGGTCATGCAGACCCTTTTTTTGCAACATCCCTGCATTACGTTCATAAAGCAAAGTGATGTCACGGTTAATGTCACTGTAGTACCTTTGAGTCCATTTATRCTAGGTGCTATATACACATAGACTTAAATGATAAATCCTGCCTTGAGAAGTTTACATTCTCTGGTTTGCATGGCTTAATTTACAGATCATTTGCATTAAGTTTACTAGTAGCAAAGCTTTTCATAGCTGCTAATTCTGCAAACTCAAAGTGGAGCACTGCAAGCTTCCTATGTGTTTACCAGTATTGGCAATAAAGGTCCATCGGGCTGATAAACACAGCAATTTCTTGTCTTTATGTACAGCCTTCAATTAATCATAAAAGTGACATTATAGACCCAGTGGGTAAGAAGGAACATTTTTTAATAGCCAGCACTCCCCTGGGTACAACTACACTTTTAACACCTGCAGTAGCCAGTGAGCACCTCTGCCAGCTAAAACACCTCTCTAGAAGAATAATTAATACTTCAGAAAAACTTATAGAATAACTAATACTTCCTGGAAAAGTTTGCAATTAGGCTCAAATATCCTAGAGCAGAGCACCCAAAGGATCAAAGCCATCTTCAGCAGGTTTGGGCTGAAGCCTTGAGGAGAAGTGGAAGGCAAGAGAGTGTGAGGCAGACTGCTTGCCCTTTTAATCCCTTTTCAGTGCGATATGAGGACACCTGCATGTTGGGGTGCTCAGAAATAAATAGCGAAGCAGAGATAGTCACTCCTGAACATGCTCACAAGCAAGGCTCTCAGGCCAGAGGCTCCGAGCTATCAAATACTTTGTCAGTCTCAGCAAACTGGTAAATAAAGAAAAGATTCTTCCACATAAATCTCTGGATCTGATCCTCACAAAGAGTGCTTTCAGTCCGAGCTCCTACTTTAATACTCCACGGCTGTGGAAGAGAACAGCGAGTCTTATTTACGCATCCAGCAGCAGTTTATGACGGGCACCATCTCATCTCAAGGGTCTGACATATACATGCATCGTTGTCCAATTTGCAAATTCTTGCATCTAAAAGTTTAATAAGCTCTTCATTTGATTTCTTAATGTTTTTCACAGAAAGTGAAAGTTTTTCCTGGYAGGGCCAGGACTGTAAGCCCTTTTATCTACACCCCATAAAGGCCTAGGATGTCTCTTTGAGTTTGGCCAATAATTTGAAAGTAATCCAGATTTTGTTTTTCCTGCAGGTTTAAATGAAAAGTGAATGTTTTAAGTGGAGGAGTAAGAAGTACATTGAATTTGGAAATATTACAACAACAGCAGCAGAGCTCTGGAAAAATTCAAGGAGTTATTAAAATCTTTAAAACTCAATTGTTTAGAAATTAGGCRCATAGTTTAAAAATGACGTTCTGGCAAAGCTGCGTGATTTGCCCTTCCCATCACATATTACATTAAAGCTCTGCAGTATGTCCAGTCTTAGCTGGCCASTATCCAAGAGTGTCCCGTGGTTGCCGCAGAACCCACCGGATGACCATGCAAAAGCATTCGCAGTGATTGCTCGTCATCAACACGTGAAAAAGACTTGGGGCTCAATTCTAAATTGTTGGAAACAAAGAGGACTTTTCTGCCATTTGAATCATTTGGTAGTACATCCAAGCCYTTGGAAAGGGAGGCCACTAAGGCAGATGATCTTTTTCTCCCATGATACTGCAAGTGTCCTACCCAAAGCAACTCGGAGTGTCTTAAGGCTGAGCRGCTTCTCTCACGCTGAAGGAACAAAAGAACATCTGGTCCTAGCTACTGTTTTTCAACTGGATCATCTTGTGCCTCACTAAAATGAATGAGAAACACATGCAGGCTGTGTTTTCGAAAAGTTGTATTTCATTGATGCAACTAAAGTAGTGATTTTCACATGCAATTAGATACACAGATGTAGACAAGCAACAATTTACACACACACTACATTTCCAGCGAGGCCCTATGTACATTCCCATATGCTTTGCACATGCGAAATACGCACATGGCGAAGAGGCATGGGAAAGTATTTACATGTGCAATTGTATCTTCCCACAGCAATGCCTGGGAATTAGAAAGCACTAACTTGGACAATATTTTGGATGTAAAATCTGATGACACTTTCAATTCTATTCTGCAGGCCCCGCTATAAATAATACTAATTATTAATTATGATCTGCCTACAACAGCACTTCACCAGGCACTTTGCAGATATGCCAGAGAATAGGGAGCTCCAATCACCCTTGTRTTACTGCATTTGCCAAGAGTATTTTTGGAATCATCAGTGTCCAAAGACCTTTAGAAACATGTTATATGCAGACATTTCCAAAAGRCTCATGAAGAATGGAAAAGGAAGAGCAGCACAGTACAACCAAGCCATTCAAGTACAGGTCAAGACTAAAAACTGTAATTTTTTTTAATTATCTTCTCTTTATCTTTAATTTTTTTTTTTAATTTAGAAGATATCACCTATATATTCTAACTGTATCTAACTTTCATCTAACTATGCAAGTTTTTCTACAGCCAGAAGTGTTAAAAATGTAAATGCAAAACTTAAGAATCTGGTGCAAGCAAATACTGTAAAATCTGTAGCGTAACTGAGCTCTGTCAAACCAAATGCTCTATAGTACATTGGAGCTGTGAAAAAAAAAGAAAAAGAAAATGTGCAAGACCTAGGGCTGACCTTTAAAACCATTGGCAGAAAAAAAACCAAGCCATATATACATATATACATATATATGTATTTAAAAGCATTGAATATGCTCTTTTTGCATGTTTAGCTGCTATGGATGGATGCAGTTCTTGTTCTGCTCTAAGTCTTCYATGTTCTATCTGGGTGTTTGCAGCTTGGTGTGATGGTCTCGGTGTAGGAGCCTGGGAGCTGTGGGCCTCTGGTGGCACTGCACTGTGCATCTTGGATGCAGCAACGTGCTCAGCATCAGCACTGCCAGACCTGTGCTGGCTTTTGAGTAGAGAGCAGCAGCCCCAGGTGTGTAACGGGAGCATCGTTCTGTCACAGCAGCAGGTTCCTTAGGTTTGGGGTGGGGGAAGGATACCCAGCAAGGATCTGGAAGACTAAACTGGGTGTGGAGAAGAGCTAATGGCTGTCTCCAAACTGGGAGAAGGAAGCGGGATGGGAGGGCCGTGGAGAAAGGCCTTGGATAGGAGGCACAGGTGAGGGATGGGGAAGGCGGGTAGTGGGGTAGCTGCAATGGGGAGACAAGGGCAAGACTGAGGTGTGGAGAGCTGTGAGCTGCTGCGGTGCTGCATTGAAACCACGTGGATTTCCAGCAGCCGGATGCCTCCATGCACAAGCCCTAGCACCAGCAATTACCTGCTTGGCTCCTGGCAGGGAGCTTGCAAGAGGCTGCCACACGTTTCTCAAAAGGGACTATTTACGTGACCTCTTCAGTTTCTATTAGCAGGCCAAACAAACTCCAAGTGCCAACATACTGAAGAAGTGGAAAAGTTAGTTTATAGAAGGGGAAAAAAGGGAAGGAGAAGAAAAACAAAACCCAAGTTCTTTCCACAATGTTTTCATTCCCATGTCTTAACCACAGTATTCCCAGCAAATGGTTTTTCTATGGCGCATCTGAAAAGCGACCACAATGCAAAAGCAACTGCAGAATTTGTAATGAAAGCAAAGCTGAGAGCAGTAAGTGTAGAGTGAAGACAACAAGAAGCAGTCACGAGAGCAAGGCAGGGGGTTACAGTGTGCTTTCACTGCAGTCTCCTGGAAGCCACAGCCAGAACCATCCTGCGGAGATAACCATATAAGATAGCATGGGTTCAAATGCCAGAAAGGTTTTTCAACCATGTTATTTCAGATTTTTTTAGTTCCCTTGTGTCAGCTTGAAACAGCAGGGCATGACCAAAACATCTGTAAGTGCAAGTCTGCTGTCCATCTGGGCACCAGGGCCAAGAAGGTCTCTCTTAAATCATCATATTGCTTTATGCCATCACATAGACGTTTCTTGGGTTTCCATGTTACTTGTGCATTACCCTTTCAGGGGAATATCACGACTGCCAGCAGCAG